GTGTCCATGAGCTGATCTTGGCTTGGTTTGGGTTTGTGTGTGGAAAAGACAGCACTGGTTAATGGATTAGATGTCAGAAGGACCAGCTATGTAATTTTGGGGGCCCTCTGCCAATGGAAAATGCATTGTTCCTCATTCAAGCGTTATTTAGAATATCTGGACAGCTACAGCAGAGCATTAAAGCAAGCACAGGGCCCTTTTATGTGTGAGACCGAATGTGACTGCCCAGGTGCACACCCATGAAACTGGCCCTGCACACCAGATGTGAGTGAAAAAGAGCAAACAAGGATGACTCCCTGTGCCTGTCAGGAAGAGGTCTTTATTAGGTGTGATCTCAGGAAGTTGCTGCTTTGATAGATCAAACATGGTCACATGTCAGCAGTTTCCTGTTGGTCCTTCTGATCCAAGTCTGGTATTTAGGGGTGCCATGGAGTGAATGTGCCCCCCTGAATTCATATACCGAAGCCCTAATTGCCAACATGATGGTATTTGGAGGTGTACCCTTTGGGTGGTATAATAATTAGAGTTAATTAGGTCATGAGGGTGGGGCACTTATGGTGGGTGTATTAGTCCATTTTCACACTGCTGATAAAGACATTCCCCAGACTGGGCAGTTTACAAAAGAAAGAGGTTTATTGGACTTATAGTTCCACGTGGCTGGGAAGGTCTCACAATCATGGTGGAAGGTGGAAGGCATGTCTCACATGGCAGCAGACAAGAGAAGAGAGCTTGTGCAGGGAAACTTCCCCTTTTTAAAACCATCAGATCTCATGAGACCTATGCACAATCACAGGAACAGCATGGGAAAGACCTGCCCCCATGATTCAATTACCTCCTGCTGGGTGCCTCCCACAATACCTGGGAATTCAAGATGAGATTTGGGTGGGGACACAGCCAAACTATATCAGCAGCCTTATAAGAAGAGGAGAAACATCCCCCATCTACCACCATGCACATGCACATGCCAGACAAAGACCATGTGAAAACATAAGAAGGCAGCAGTCTGGCCAGGCACAGTGGCTCATGCCTGTAATCCCAGCACTTTGGAAGGCCGAGGTGGGTGGATCAAGAGGGCAAGAGATCAAGACCATCCTGGCCAACATGGTGAAACCCCATCTCTACTAAAAATACAAACAATTAGCTGGGCCTGGTGGTGTGCGCCTGTAGTCTCAGCTACTCAGGAGGTTGAGGCAGGAGAATGGCTTGAATCCAGAAAGCAGAGGTTGCAGTGAGCCGAGATCGTGCCATTGCACTCCAGCCTGGTGACAAAGCAAGACACTGTCTCTAATAATAATAATAATAAATAAATAAATAAATAAATAAATAAATAAATAAAAAGGCAGTAGTCAGCAAACCAGGAAGAAGGCCTTCTCCAAGAACTGGATCGTGCGTCACCCTGATCTTGGATTCCAGCTTCCAGAGCATAAGAAATAAATTGTTTAAGCCACTCAGTCTGTAGTATTTTGTAATGGCAGCCAGAGCAGACTAGGGTAGGGGAATAAATGCCAGGACTGAAGACAGATTAGGGTTCTCAGTGGTCACATAGGGAGGAGGCACTATGGAGAAGCGGACAGACCCTGGAGTCCTATATTTAAAGCTCCAACCAGAGAGGAGCTGGAGGAGGAGGGCAGTAAGGCAGGAGAGCAGGGAGGTGGTGGGGGGCAGTCCTGGAAGCCAGGGCCAGAGGGTTTCAAGAAAGAGGGCGTGGCTGGCCATGTCCGATGTGGCTGAGGTTAGAGAGATGAATGGCCACTGAATTTGGGAACAGGGCATCTTTGGTGCCCTGGACAAGAGCAGTGTCAGTGGTGTGGTGGGGCAAAAGTTTGAGTGGAGTGGACTGAGGGGGAAATGGGAAGAAGATAGGGAGGTGGAGATGACCACATACAATTCTTTGGGTAAGTTCTGCCGACATGGTGTGGCAGTAGCCAGGGAGAAATGGGAGGAGCAAAGGGCATTTCTTACTGATGATAAACTATCTAAGATTTACAAAAAGATATAAAAAAGAATAAAGACTACTCATATGCCCATACCCCAGCTAGAGAAATAAAACAATTCCAATAGGACTGTAAGCCTCAGTGTATCCTTCAAGGGAGGATCCCCAGCCCCCTCCCAGGAGTAACTATTAACATAGGTCTAGTTTTTATTCTCTTGCATTTCTTTATTGTTTTATTACGTAGGGACAAGTTTATTAGCAGTACACTATTTTGCATGTTACTAGACTTTCCATAATGCCATCATATTGCATATATTCTTCTGCAGGCTATAAAGATCACATTGATTCATGTAGCTTTGGTTTATTCATTTTCATGACTGTTGAGTATTTTACTAAGGCTGTATACTAGAGTTCATCTGTTCTCCTACTGGTGGTTGTCAAGGTTGCTGTCTATATTTTTCCATTACAAATAATGGTGCTAAGCACCCTGGGACTGGTTTTCTCACTCTTGTAACCAGTATGTTGGGTAAACAGATCTTACATTTTAATAAAAAGAATTTATATATCCCCCCACAAACCCCTGCTCAGGCACGTGCATTGCCTGAGCCTAGTTCTTTCCCACTCCTTGGCTAAAAAGTTCTTGGTTCACGTTTGATTAAAATAAAGTTTCCTTGGCTGGGCACGGTGGCTTACGCCTGTAATCCTAGCACTTTGGGAGGCTGAGGTGGGTGGATCACCTTAGGTCAGGAGTTCCAGACCAGCCTGGCCAACATGGTGACAACCCATCTACTAAAAATACAAAAATTAGCCGGGTGTGGTGGCGTGCGCCTCTACTCCAGCTACTCTGAGGCTGAGGCAGGAGAATCGCTTGAACCTAGGAGGCAGAGGTTGCAGTGAGCCGAGATTGCACCACTGTACTCCAACCTGGGTGACAGAGCGAGACTCCGTCTCAAAAAATAAAAATAAATAAATAAAGTTTTATTCAGCCCATGTACTAGTTGAACCCATGTACTAGTCAGAATTCTATTGACTAATACACAGTGAAGTGAATACATCATTGCTCATTAACTTCTCCCCTCCTCAGCCAGGGCCTTTGCCCTCTCCCCAGGCTGCCTCTGGCCGCCAGGCTGGAAGTGGTAGAGGAAGGGGGTGGGGGCGAGGAGAGATCTGACCTGGCTGACACTTGTGTTGCTGCTGGCGTCTGGCTGCACTCACCTGTAGAACTGACCCTTCCCTGGAGGGCGTGTTAGGCTCTTCAGAGGGCCACTCTGAGGGTCTCACTGAAGGCCTCTCATCTGTGGTCTCTCATTTAGGGGCTTCCCAGACATCCTTCAGCCCAGGGTTTGCGATCTTTGGCCCACCTGTGACAGCCCACTACCCCCCAGACAACCCTTTTGGGCAAAGTCCTGCTTCCTGCTCTCTTTCCCCCCTGTAAGACCACACCTAGGCCAGAGGAAGCATGGGCACCCTTCCTCCTGACCAGCCGGGAGTGTGGCCTTCCCCACCGCAGCTTCTGCACCCCTTCATCCCTCAGAGCCGCTGCCACAGGCGGACACCAGCTTCTGGGTCCCTGGCCTCCAGGAGCACAGGTCAGGTGCTCCCAGGAAGGCCCTGCCACGCAGCAGTGGTGAGCGGAAGGGAAGGGAAATTGTCACATCATACCTGACCCCTGCAATGGTTTCCAAAGACATTGTCCCTGCTGGCCTCTGCAACTTCTACCCTGTAGTAACGTGGAGGAGGTGCCTGGCAAGGTGCCTGGGGCCCTCACTGGGCTCTTTGCAAGGCTTCCTTGCCACCATTATTCTTGGCCCCTTAGGGCCCCTTGTTTTTGCAGGAGTGGAATATCAGAGGCTTGAGGATTGGCCATCTTCACTTTCACCAACCAGGTGGGGGAGCAGGGAGGTACTCAGCTCAAGTGCAAAATTTAAGGGTGGAGGGGCACCAAAAAATAAGACAAATTCTCTTTTATTGAGGTAAAGTTCACATAAAAGTAACCATTTATGGGAGGCTGAGGCAGGAGGATTGCCGGAGCCAGGAGTTCAAGGCTTCCGTGAGTTACCAGCCCCATCCGCCCAGTCCCTGGTCACCACCAATCTTTCTGTCTCAATGCTTGCCTATTCTGGACATGCATGTAAATGCAGTCATACAGGTGTGACCTTTTGTGTCTGCCTGCCTTCAGTATGAATGAACCTTGAAAACACTGTGAAAGGTGAAAGGTGTGTCTTCTTTGGAGAACTGTCACCTCAAATTATTTGCCCACTTTAAATTTGGGCTGTTTGTCATTTCGCTGTTGAGTTGTAAGAATTCTTTTTGTTTTTTGTTTTTTTGAGACGGAGTCTGGCTCTGTTGCCCAGACTGGAGTGCAGTGGCACAATCTCGGCTCACTCCAACCTCCACCTTCCGGGTTCAAGCAATTCTCTTGCCTCAGCCACCCAAGTGTTGGGATTATAGGCATGCGCCACCATGCCTGGCTATTTTTGTACTTTTTTTTTTTTTTTTTTTTTTGAGATGGAGTCTGGCTGTGTCGCCCAGGCTGGAGTGCAGTGGCGCGATCTCGGCTCACTGCGAGCTCTGCCTCCCAGGTTCATGCCATTCTCCTGCCTCAGCCACCCAAGGATCTAGGATGACAGGTGTCCACCGCTATGCCCAGCTAATTTTTTGTATTTTTAGTAGAGACGGGGTTTCACCGTGTTAGCCAGGATGGTCTCGATATCCTGACCTCGTGATCCGCCCACCTTGGCCTCCCAAAGTGCTGAAATTACAAGCGTGAGCCACCGTGCCCAGCCTATTTTTGTAGTTTTAATAGAGATGAAGTTTCTCCATGTTGGCCAGGCTGGTCTTGAACTCCTGACTTCAGGTGACCCTCCTGCCTCACCCTCCCAAAGTGCTGGGATTACAAGCGTGAGCCGCTGTGCCCGGCCAAGAATTCTTTATATATTCGGGATTCTAGACGCTTATCCAATATATGATTTACAAATATTTATTCCCATTGTGTTAATCTTTTCGGTTTCCTGAGTAGTGTCCTTGGATACAGAAAAGTTTTTAATTTTGACAAAGTCCAGCTTACCTATTTTGTTGTTGTTGCTTGTCCTTTTGGTGTTACATCTAAGAATCCATTGCTAAATCCAAGGCCATGAAGATTTACTTCTAAGAGTTTTATCTTTTCAGCTCTCACATAAAACAAATATTTCAATGAAATATTTCAAAAATCAAAACTAATGCAAAAAGTCCATGATGAACAAAATATCAACATTTTAAATAAAGGCCAGATCTGCCCCTGCACTTGGTCTACGCCCTTCATTCGTGCACCCTGGGGCGGGGTCAGATTAAACTAGGGGAGCCCATTAGGCTGGGGCTGGTGTGTGGCTGATGGCAGAGTTCGGGCAGGGCCGGGCCGGGCCGGGCCGGGCCAGCCCAGAACGAGAAACCGCTACTGCAGGAGACAGCGATTTTTCCGCGGCAAATCCTTGAGAAGGGAGGATGGGAGGCGGCGGGACGACTCAGTGAAGCCTGCCCCGAACGCCAAATGAATGTGTGCCGTGCTCGCGCGTGTGGCTGCCGACCGCGACGACATAATCTTGAAAGTGACCGCTGTCCCGGGGCTCCCTGCTCTCAAGGGACCCTGACAGCAGCCGCCTCCCCGGGAGGGTCCCCTGCAGGGAGAAGGCCCTGGCGAGGGGAGGGGGTTGGACCGCGGTGCGCGCATCCCCAGGTCCGCGTCCCCGCCCTCTTGCCCAGGGCTCCAGTCCTTTGGGGGCAGGCGCGTGCACTGGGGGCTCACACCAACGCGCCCCTCCAGCCTGGCCCGGATTCCTGCAGCCCAATGGCAGGGGAGGCCGCGCACCCGTCGCGTTACAGAGTAGTGCGGCCGGGCCTCCAGGGCGCGCCCGGATCTTGGACCACCGCGGGTCTGTCCGAAACCCGCCAGTGAGCAAGCGGGAGAGCGCGGCCACCCCGCCCCGCCCCGCCCCTTCCGCGCCCGCCCCGCCCCCTCCCCGGAAGGCGCGGGTGCCCGCAGCTCCCCGTGGACTCCGACCCGGGGCAACATGGCCGCGTTCTCACCTCTGCGCGACTGCCAGGTACACGGAGGCTGCCCCCGGCCAGGTCCCCCTCGGGCCCCGGGAGTTGGGAGTGGCCTGGTGCTGGCGGAATGGCGGGAGACATGGCCTGGGCGCCGGGCGTAGGGTGAGCCCTGGACACACGGGCGCGTCCGCGGCAACACCTAGAAGGGACCCGAGGCCCTTCTTGTGGAGTCCCCACTGAGGGAAATAAGGGGCGTCTGTCAGGGTACTCGGGAGACCCCAAGACCTCCTAAAAATCGTAGCTCACTGGGCGTGGCGTGGGACGCAGAGAAGCCTGCAAAGGTGAGGGGCTCCTTGGAATCAGCCCAGGACAGGGAGCCTGAGCCCATCTTGCAGATGAGGAAGATGGAGGTCAGAGGGGCCAGGTGACTTGTGTATGTTGAGGTTTGAAGGGCTCCTGGAAAGAAAGCCCTGCTATTCCCTCCTTGCTGTCTGTAGGCCTGGAAGGATGCGAGGCTCCCGCTGTCCACCACAAGCAATGAAGCTTGCAAGCTGTTTGATGCCACGCTGACCCAGGTATGCCTGCCTAGAGAGGCCGCGGCCCCTTCTGTGGAGATCTAGGGGAAGGTTTTTGTTTGTTTGCTTTTGTTTTTGAGACGGAGTCTCACTCTGTCGCCCAGGCTGGAGTTCAGTGGCGCAATCTCGGCTCACTGCAAGCTCCGCCTCCGGGATTCACGCCATTCTCCCGCCTCAGCCTCCTGAGCAGCTGGGACTACAGGCGCCCGCCACCGCGCCCGGCTGATTTTTTGTATGTTTAGTAGAAACGGGATTTCACTGTTCACAGGATGGTCTCGTTCTCCTGACCTTGTGATCCGCCTGCCTCGGCCTCCCAAAGTGCTGTGATTACAGGCGTAAGCCACCGTGCCCGGCCTGGGAAGGTTTTTAAATTGGGGAATGTTTTTTAAATTGCGCCATGACCTTAGCAATAGATGACCGTACATCTGTGCACTCTGTACTGGAGGACGTGGGGACATATCTCTGCCGCCCACAGAGTCCTGAGAGGGCCTCTGCACTCACCCTCCTTCCCCAGGACTCTGAGTGGTGGGTGGACAGCAGTAGGTGCCATGGGGATGTTTTTTGAGGGTGCTGGCCCCCTTGGGCCTCCCCTTGTGGCCTGCTGAGGGTCTGATGCAGGGCTCGGCTACTTAGGACATGGTGTCCTGTCCTGGGATGCATCTGTGAATATACTGTCTTCACCTAGGCTGTGCCAAGACGTCCTGCCACATTACCAGTCATTTCTCTACCCAGGAAGGGTCCTATAGTTTTAGAACTAGGAGAAGTCTCAGAAGATCCAACTAGTTTGTTTGACAGGTAGGGGAACTGAGGCTCAGAGAGTTGAACCTACTTGACTTGAAGGTTGTCCATGAATTAGAGGCAGAACCAGGGTGAACCTGGGCCTAACTACACTGATAGATAACTAAAGCTGGCCTTGGCATGGGCAGTGAGGCCCCTGCATACTGACTTCATCCACATAACATGAGGACCCAGGGAGCTCTTAGAAGCCTACCGGTTGAACAAGAGAGGACTGATGGAATGCTGTGAGCTGCGCCATGGGTGCCCCTCCTGTTCCCTGCCTGCCCTGCTGTTCCCAGCCTGCCCTGCAGAGGGACTCTGCTGTGGGCATCTGAGTTGTTTATTTTGTGTTTGACCTGGCTCACTTGCCCTTCCTGTACCTCACTGGCCTCTTTAGAGTACTCAATTTGTTTTTTGTTTGAGATGGACTCGCCCTCTCACCCAGGCTGGAGTACAATGGCGCAATCTTGGCTCACTGCAACCTCCGCCTCCCGGGTTCAAGTGATTGTCCTGTCTCAGCTTCCGGAGTAGCTGGGATTACAGGCACGCGCCACCACGCCTGGCTAATTTTTTGTATATTTAGTAGAGACGGAGTTTCACCATGTTGGTCGGGCTGGTCACAAACTCCTGACCTTGTGATCCCCCGGCCTTGGCCTCCCAAAGTGCTGGGATTACAGGCGTGAGCCACCGCGCCCGGCCCCTAGTACTCGATTTGTTACACACTACATCCCCAGTCAGTGGTCGCTCATCCTCCCAGCCTGTGCATATTTTGTCCCATGTATTGGTGTCTCTGTACTGTCCTGTGTTAGAACTTCGATTCTTTAAATCTCTCTGCCAACCCTCCTCTATCTTGTCAAAATGCTTGTGTAGCCTATAGTCCCAGCTACTTGGGAGGCTGAGGCAGGAGGATTGTTTGAGCCCAGGAGGTTGAGGCTGAAGTGAGCTCTCATTGTGCTACTGTACTCCAGCCTGGGCAACAGAGTGAACCCCGTCTTAAAAAAAAATATATATATATATACACACACACACACACACATACACATACACATACATGTACTAATTTTGTGTAGATGTAGGTTAGATAACTGAAAGGGCATATTTTAAAATCCAATGCATGATTATAGGTCTAGGACTTTTTTAAAAAAGAGGCATTTGAATAAAGGACCAGGTACCAATACACCAAATTGTTTAAAATGACGATGGGCTGGGCACGGTGACTCATGCCTGTAATCCCAGCACTTTGGGAGGCTGAGGCAGGTGGATCATCTGAGGTCAGGAGTTCGAAACCAGTCTGGCCAACATGGTGAAACCCCATCTGTACTAAAGATACAAAAAAAATTAGCCAGGCATGGTGGTGTGCACCTGTAATCCCAGCTACTTGGGAGGCTGAGGCAGGGGAATTATTTGAACCAGGGAGGTGGAGGTTGCAGTGAGTCAAGATAGCACCACTGCCTTCCAGCCTGGGCAACAGAGCGAGATTCTGTCTCAAGAAAAAAAAAAAAATTAGCCAGGCGCAGTGTGCACACCTGTAATCCTGGCTACTAAGGAGGCTGAGGCAGGAGAATTGCTTGAACCCTGGAGGCAGAGGTTGCAGTAAGCTAAGATCGTGCCATTGCACTCCAGCCTGGGCGACAGGGCGAGATTCTGTCTCAAAAAAAAAAAAAAAAAAAAAAGATTTATCTTTCAGCTTTTGTGTCTTTCTGACTCTCTAAAATGAATGTTTACTGTGACTTTTTTTTTTTTTTTTTTTTTTGAGACGGAGTCTCGCTCTGTCACCCAGGCTGGAGTGCAGTGGTGCGATCTCCACTCACTGCAAGCTCCGCCTCCCAGGTTCACACCATTCTCCTGTCTCAGCCTCCGGAGTAGCTGGGACTACAGGCGCCCGCCACCTCGCCTGGCTAGTTTTTTGTATTTTTTAGTAGAGACGGGGTTTCACCATGTTAGCCAGGATGGACTCGATCTCCTGACGTTGTGATCCGCCTGTCTTGGCCTCCCAAAGTGCTGGGATTACAGGCTTGAGCCACCGCGCCCGGCCTACTGTGACTATTTTTAAAACGAATGAATAAGAAGCAGGAATGTTCCTGTCGTGACCAACTTCAAGGCTCCTCTTAGGGCCGAAGAAGCCGATGTGTAGCAGGTCACCTGTCAGGAGGAATTTGCCCTTTTTTTTTTTTTTTTTTTTTCTTCTCTCTCTCATGCAGGCTGGAGTGCAGTGGTGCTATCTTGGCTCACTGCAGCCTCCCAGGTTCAGGCGATTCTCTTGCCTCAGCCTCCCAAGTCTCAGCTGCCCAAGTTGCTAGGACTACAGACACGTGCCACCATGCCTGACTAATTTTTGTATTATTTGTAGAGACAGAGTTTCGCCATGTTGGCCAGGCTGGTCTCAAACTCCTGCCCTCAAGTGATCCACCCACCTTGGTCTTCCAGAGTGTTGGAATTACAGGTGTGAGCCATCGCACCTGGCCAGAACCTGCCTTTTGATGTTTCTTTTTTGGAAATGCAGCATCCCTAGCCCTAGAAAGTGCGCCTCGGGTGATGTGTATTTCATTTCTTCATATAAAGAAAGTTGTCAGCCAGGTTATGCCTTCTTTGGATTAGAGTCCAGAAAACACTCAGTGTTCTACAAAGTAAAACAAATCTGGATTTATTTTTATTTTTTGGTTTTTGAGACAGAGTCTCTCTGTCATCCAGGCTGGAGTGCAGTGGCGTGATCTTGGCTCACTGCAGCCTTGGCCCCTGGGTTCAAGTGATTCTCATGCCTCTGCCTACCAAGTGGCTGGGACTACAGGTGTGCACCACTACGCCCCCCTAATTTTTGTATTTTTAGTAGAGATGGGGTTTCAGCATGTTGGTCAGGCTGGTCTCGAACTCCTGACCTCAAACAATCTGCCCGCTTTGGCCTCCCAGAGTGTGAACCTGGATTTAGAGCCACACCTTTGCTAGAATGATCCAAGGGCTCCATGAGGACTTGTTTTGCTTTTCCCATTTTAGTATGTAAAATGGACCAATGACAAGAGTCTCGGTGGCATCGAGGGCTGCCTGTCAAAGCTCAAAGCAGCAGATCCGACCTTCGGTGAGTAACACCTTCCCTGGGTAGAGGAGCCCCACTTGACACAGCCAGCCCCTCTCTCTTTTCTTTGTCACAGACACACAGTTGGGATGGGGAAGGCAGGTTGGGTGGCAGTAACCAGGGTGGCATTTGCACAGAGGGAGAGAAGATGACAGCTGCCTTTGTATTTGGAAAAACAGTCACTCCCATAAAGATGCTAGGTTCTAACAGGCATTTTTCTTGCCTTTTCTCTGATTACCGTCAATTATTGAATAAAGATGCTGATCTCATTTCTCAGATGAGGAAACTGAGGGTTGGCAAAAGTAAGACCGTACTTAAAGCCACCCAGCTGGTGGTTGACAACTGGGATTAGATAAGCTTCCTGAATCCAAGGCCCAGACCGCTGGAACACGAGAGGTGGCTGCTGCAGCCTCCGTCAGGGGACCAGTGAGACCTCATCTAAGTGGCCAGGTTGAGGTGGTCACCGATGGGTGACAGAGGCTGGCATCCAGGCAAGCCATGTGTACAGCGGGCATGGGAAGCCAGCACAGTGCATTGAAGGTGGGTGGTTCCAGGGTGCAGCAAGGTTCCGGGCCTGGGGGAAGGGCTGATGAGGGGACAGAGTCTTGTCAGGGTGGCAGGGACCCCCTTCTCACCCTGCTGCAGCCTGGTCAGATTTAAGGCAGGGTCTTGTACTGTCCTGGAGAGGACAAACAAGGAAATAACTGGGGGAGAATGGAGAGCCAAACCCAGTCATGGGGAGCCAGGAGCCAGGGGTGGGCTCAGACTCTGAGCAGACCTTGAGCCCTGATCAGGGGCCTTCAACCACCTGAATCATCAGCTGGGCTGGTCTGGGCTGGCCTGGGCTGGGCTCGACCATCGGAATCACCAGCTGTTTTCCAGGGGCCACATAGGTGGTCCTAGCACTATGGTTGGGTCCTAGATCCCAGGCCTGAGCCAGTGACCAAGTTCCAAATGCCAATGGACACCCTGGCTCTCCCAGAGTGTGGCCTGGGGGCCTGCACTCCTGCCAGCAAGGCTGCTGCGAGGGCCACAAGGCACACACCCCCTCCCCCAGCTTTTAGCATGTGTGAGCAGCACAGACGGGATCGTGACTTCTGTGCTCCGGGGCCTCCTTGGTCCAGCCCATCGTGAGCAGTATCCACTGATGCCTCCCGGGAGCTGTGTGCTGGCTGTGTGATAGTGGCCGCTGATGAGCCTGCAGGCAGCCGCTAAGTGGCTCATCCAGTGAAGGGGAAGGTGCTTTAGACACTGGCACTCAGCACAATGCCCTCACTAGACAAATATTCAAGGGTGCCTTTAGGCTTGCCGTTTGCTCCATGCTTTACAAGTGCCGAGGCTGAGTTCTGGACAGTCGGCAGGGCCACAGTGCACAGCCTACTGCTGCCTGGCTGGCCCCTCCTGGGACATGGGATGTCTCTGTGACATGTGGAGTCTGGGCTGGGCTGGGCTGAACCACCAGCTGTTCTCTAACCTCCACCAGCAATGGGCCACGCCATCTCTACTGGCCTTGTACTGATTGGCACTGGAAGCTCCGTGAAGCTGGACAAAGAGCTGGACCTGGCTGTGAAGACAATGGTGGAGATTTCAAGAACCCAGCCGCTGACAAGGCGGGAGCAGTTGCACGTGTCTGCAGTAGAGACATTTGCCAAGGGGTGAGGGGCCTCCCTGGGCGGGGAGCTGGCACCCTGAGGCTGCGCTGGGGCAATGGCAGGGTATCCCTTTCCCGACGCCCTTGGGAGCAGGGCAGGGTGGGAGAGTGATTCTCTCCTCGCCTCCTGAGATGCTCTCATGGAAAATCACATCCTCTGCTTCCCCGTCCTTGGTGGAGTGCTGAGTGAGGAAGCGGTGAAGATTCCCAACTTAGTGTTGAAAGTAACTTACTTTGTTTCATTAAGTAATTGTATATTATTTTCCTTACAAAAATAATAGGATCACACTACAGAAATTACTAGATTAGGGAAGAGAGAAGAAAACATGCTTCTTCTAGTGGGAAATAATCAAATCAAATCTTCACCCATATGTTCCTTGCTCTTGCACTGGCTTTCACATCATCCCCCCGCTGTTCCCACGCTGGTTCCTTTGTTCTCTGGGACAGCCCCCATGTCTGCTCAGGCAGGTGAGATGCCCTGCAGAGTTAGATGACCTTAGCCGATTGTGCAGGGGCTCAGGGATCCTAAGACTGGGGAGGTGCTGCCTGGTCTTCCTGGTGAGTCATCCCGGGTGTGGTTCCACCTCGGAGACTTCTGCAGGTGTCTGACCATCTCCAGTGGGATTATCCTTGGCAATTTGTTAAACCTGTTTTTTTTTTTTTTTTTTTCAGTTGAACTGAAGAGTAAAATTTCCCACTGGGTTTTCAGTTTTCTGATTCATAACCTAACACAGAAATTGATATTTATTTATTTATTTAGACAGAGTTTTGCTCTAGTCACCCAGGCTGGAGTACAATGGCACGATCTCAGCTCACTGCAACCTCTGCCTGCCGGGTTCAAGCGATTCTCCTGCCTCAGCCTACCAGGTAGCTGGGATTACAGGCACATATCACCACACCTGGCTCATTTTTATATTTTTAGTAGAGACGGGGTTACATCATCTTGGCCAGGCTGGTCTTGAACTCCTGACCTCGTGATCCACCTGCCTTGGCCTCCCAAAGTGCTGGGATTACAGGCAGGAGCCACCACGCCTGGCCAGAAACTGATTTTTAAAAAAACACGTGCATGTAGACCATGACATTGGTGAGAAACGATTCCTCTTACATTCCCTGTGTGGGTGGACTGTGTGCTCAGTGTTGGTGAGAAATCTTTCTCGGTTTCCAGGAACTTTCTGAAAGCCACTGAACTATGGGAACAGATTCTCCGGGACCACCCAACAGACATGTTGGCCCTGAAATTTTCCCATGATGCTTATTTTTACCTGGGCTGTCAGGAACAGATGCGAGATTCTGTTGCTCGAGTTTACCCCTTCTGGACACCTGACATCCCCCTAAGCAGGTATGTGCCAGCTGGAAATCACATTGTTTCTGTTTCTGGATCTCTCTCTTCTGCCCTGAAAATATGGTGACTCTCTTGGGCCTGTCCTAAAAATAATGGGACCATTGTTGCTATTCTCCGAGCTCCTTAAAGTTCAAAGGCTTCACTTTCTTCATTTGATTTTCATCCCACCTGTGAATGAGGTAGTCCCATTAGGTATCAGTCAGCATGGGATTGTTTTTGCTGCAGTAACAAACATCCCCTGGTTCTTCTTCCCCAAAGCTTATTACAGCAAAGGTTTATTTTTTACTCATACTACATGGCACCTTAGGAGGGATGAGGGCTCTGCTGCCATGTCCTTGTCTGCATCCAGGATCCCAGCTGATGAAGCAGCTGCCCTCTGGACACACCTGTTACTAAGAGGGAAAAGCAAGCTTCCCTGGGGGGGCTTACAGTGGCAATTAAAGGTTTAGAATGAAAAGGATACCCTGCCACTCCCAAGTCATTGGCCAGAACTGATCACATGACCTCGCCCACCCACAGGAGACCAGGAAGTACAGTTCTACCTTGTCCTTGGGAAGAGAAGGAGGCCTGGAATGTGCATGAACAGCCCCAGTGACCACCACACAGGAATGACTTCACTGCAGCTTCATTACAGGATAGTTGTGAGGTTCAGAGAGGTTAATAAGCAGTATTATTTAGTCAGCACCCTCTAGAGAAGCCCAGAGAGCTCTGAGACAGAGAGATAGAGATTTATTTTAAGGAATTGACTCATGTGAGTGTGAGGGCTGGCAAGTTCAAAATCTGTAGGGCAGGGCAGCAAGCTGGAAATTCCTGCAGGAGTCAGCATTAGCCTCGCATCTGGAGGCAGTCTGCAGGTAGAATTTCTTCTTCTAGTGGCCTCAGTCTTTCTCTTAAGACCTTTAACTGATTGGACAAGGCCCACTCACATGGAGGGTAATCCGCTTTACTCAAATCACATCTAGAAATAGCTTCACAGGACTGGGCACAGTGGCTTATGCCTGTAATCCCAGCTCTTTGGGAAGCTGAGGCTGTAGGATTGCTTGAGGCCAGGAGTTCGAGATAAGCTTGGTCAACATGGCAAGACTCTGTCTCTACAAAAAGAAAAAATAAATGAAAAAAGTTAGCCAGGCACGGTGGCATGTGCCTGTAGTTCCAGCTACTCAGGAGGCTGTGACAGGAGGATCTCTTGAGCCCAGGAGTTTGAGGCTGCAGTGAGCTGGCAATCATGCCACTGCGCTTGGCCTGGGCAGCAGAGCAAGACTCCATCTCTAAAAGAATATATATTTCACAGCAACATCTAGACTGGTGTTTGACCAAACAACTGGCACCATGGCCCAGCCAAATTGACACATAAAAAATTAACCATCACAAGAACCTAGTAGTACCTGTCACACAGTAAGCCTACAAGAAATAGCTTAAGTCTTGAGGATTAAATGACCCCAGTAAACACACGATACATATATATATACACACACACACACACACACACATATATATATATATATTAAAGATAACTCTGGAAGTCAGTGCTTAAGAACATTGCTTCAATGAATAACAAAAACTAGAATCAATCTTCTTGCACAGTAGTGAAGCTAACATCTTAGTCTCAGACAGAAGCCCCATTGCCCTATTTTGTTTTAACTTAACCCCAAGAAATCACAGGAAAGAAACCTGTTTCATATATGACCACCCTAGATACTCGGGTGGGCAGTTGCAGATGAGATTGGAAGTGTGGGCTGGGCGCGGCGGCTCATGCCTATAATGCCAGCACGAGGCAGGTGGATCACCTGAGGTCAGGAGTTCGAGGCCAGCCTGGCCAACATGGTGAAACCTTGTCTCTACTAAAAATACCAAAATTAGCTGGGTGTGGTGGCATATGCCTGTAATCCCAGCTACTCAGGAGGCTGAGGAAGGAGAATCGCTTGAAACCAGGAGACGGAGGTTGCAGTGAGCTGAGATTGTGCCACTGCACTCCAGCCTGGGTGACAGAGAGAGACTGTGTCTCAAAAAAAAAAAAAAAAAAAAAAAAAAAGAAAGAGAGAGAGATTGGAAGTGTGCAATTATTCAGTAATGTCTTCCAGCCCATCCTGGGCTGGGCCTGGGCTGAGGGTTAATTGGACAGACAGGTCCCAGTCTGTCTGTAGGAGCTCCAGGTCTGAGGAGGACCCGGCTGTCCACTGAGTGCATTCCAGGCCAGGCAGGGGACCATGTACAGCGCTGAGGAAGCCAAGGAGGAGCTGTTGACAGCCCACAGGTCACGGAGGCTTCCCAGGGAGGTGCCCCTGGGTCATGCCTCTGGGTGGATGTCATCATGCAGACAGGAGGGAAAGAACTCTTGTTATTCTCAGTGGAGACCTGTGTTGATTCTTAGAAGGTGGGATGCTAATTGAGGAGCAGGGCCGCTGTCGGTGCCGGGTTTGGGGATGATTGTGCGGATGTAATGTTCATCTTGCCCCTCACCAGTCTGAAGCATGGAATTGCTGAAAAGCACAGAGCTTGGCATGGAGTTGGAGGTTGTGTCCGTCTCCTGTGGCTGCTATAGCAAAGGGCTGCAAACTAGGTGGTTTGGAGCAGCACATAGGTACAGCTTTGAGGGCCAAGAGTCCCATCCAAGGTGTCAGCAGGGCCAACGCCCTCAAAGCCTCAGGAGTGGGTCCTTCCTGCCTCTTCCAGTGCCTGGTGGTGCCCGGAGTTGCCTTGAAGTCTCTTGGCTCGCAGCTGCATCACTCTGCCTTGGTCTTTACCTACCTCCTTCCCTCTGCATCTGTGTCTTCCCACGGCCCTCTTATAAGGACACCAGTCATTGTGTTAGGACCCACCCTAATCCCGTATGACCTCCTCTAAACTTGATTACCTCTGCAAAGACACTATTTCCAAAAAAGGTCACATTCCCAGTACTGGCGGTTAGGACCTCAGTGTATCTTTGTGGGGACACAATTTAAACTGCTACCTGTCCATCGTTTTGTATTCTGAGATGTTTTTTCTGTGTTTAGCTATGTGAAAGGCATCTACTCTTTTGGCTTGATGGAAACCAACTTCTACGACCGGGCAGAAAAACTCGCCAAAGAGGTAAGTTCCCAAGGTGCCTGACCCCTCGGGGAGCAGCTGTCGGGTGGACCAGGGCATGTGAGGGGCACCATTCATGTGTGACCCTGGTGAACCCCATCCCCGCTCTCACTTCCTCAGAGAGATTGGGGAGCTCATGTTAGTGTGAGCAGCGGCCGCCTGCCAGGGGCTGTCATTCACCTGTGGCCCCCCGAGGTCCCCAGAGCCACGTTCCTTGGCTAACACTGGTTCCTCATCTACAGATGAGGTTGATGGGGTACAGGGAGCTGAGGTCAGCCCACTCACTTGGGGTTGCACTGAGTGGCAGGTCTGGGGTCCCACCAGCTCTCCCTGGCTCTAGAGCCCACACTGCCCTGCAGGGACAGGAGTTTGTGGGAGGTGAAGTGTAAATAAACGTTGACTCTTCCTTCCTGAACTTCGCATTTCTAAGCATCACTCACGGCACCAGAGGTTCAGGGACCTGAGTGATGATGGCCAGTCATGACAATTGCTGGGTGCCCATGCGTAACTGGGCCCAGGGCCAGAGGGCAGGCTTAAGCTGTCAGGCATGGGGCACGGGTGGTCTCATGCTCTGGGGGTCCCTCTCCTGTACTTCTCTTCTTGCAAGATTGGAAACTGAGGCCCATGGAGGGGCTGCCATGCACAAGGGAGTGACAGCTCCTCCTGTGCCCGGCTCTGTGTGGCACTTTATATGTGTTTGCTTGCGTCCACACAGCCCTGCCCACGTGATGTTCAACTCCTTGTTGCCCAGATGAGGGGCCCGAGGCTCAGAGGCCAAGGCTAGAGCCTGCCTAAGGCCACATGGCTCAGAGATGGCAGAGCCGGATTCCACCCAGGCCACTTGGCAACGGCTGTCCTTTCAGCTGCCCGCTCCAGGCCACGCCTCCCAACATCCTGGCTGGGGTTCTTCCCCCAGTAGTTGCCCTAGTCGGCCTGCAGCACCCTCCCCAGGAGACAGCATTGGGGCCCAAGGGTCCCTGGGCTCTCTGAAGACTGCTCTGATTATAGAATCTGAGAATTGTGTCTTGAGTGATATGTTCTTTGCTTTAACTCTGAGTCAGGGCTGGTGGGGGACCCGAGTGGCTTTCTGGCAGTCTTGGTTCTATGGCCTGGGTGACCAGACACCACCTTCAGGGATCAGCTGTAGGAAAGTCCCTTGGAGACCATGGCAGCTGGGCCCTCCTATGGGTGGCATCCATCTGGGCACCTGAGAGCTCTTGAGACAGTTGGAGAAGCTCTGGACAAGAGTAGCTGTGGCAAACCAGATGTGGCAAGTCTCCTCCATGCCTTGCAAGGAGGAAGAAGTGGTGGATAGGGTCCATTCCTGCTCCGTTGATCCCCTTTCGCCTCCTGTCCCTTGTCTTGCAGGCACCAACTCTTTGACTTCAACACCAGCACCCCACAGGCAACTACTGGGCAGGAAAAGGGGGCTGTGATGGGGCCAGGGGTGGTAACACATGGGCCATGTGTCTGCAGCCCCAGGCTGGTGAGGGCAGGAGGAGCCAGGGCAGGAGCAGGCAGGCAGCAGGCACAGGCACAGCCACAGAGCTTGGGGACCTGGAGCTCCAAGTGGCTCGATGGGTGGAGGCTTAGGGAGGAGGCAGCAAGCCGGGGAGCCAGGAGCCAGGACTGTAGAGGGGCAGGCGAGGACTGGATTCTGCTGGGCCTTGTAGCCTGGGAATGCAGTTTGGACTCCTTCCCAGGGAACCATGGTGGGACTCCAAGAGAGGAAGGAAGCCGGTCAGCCCATCAGAGCTGGGGACAGCCACCACCCTTCACTCCCTCCATGCATGAAAGCAGCATGCTTAGCAGGGTCCCATCTCAGGACCCCGCGCCCAGCCTGCTTAGACTGTGCCCAAGTGTCCCGTGCTCAGAGCCCCTGCCCCGGGGGTGCCCACAGTCCCCTACAGACACACTTCCTTTCCCTGCGTTCCCACATGGAGTGGACCGGGCCCACGAAAGCTGAGAGGTGGGCAGAGAGGCAGGGCTTGCTGGGGCCGACCTCCTGCCAAAAGCCTCTCAGCGGGTGCTGGGCCAGGGCAGAGGAGCGTGGGGCTTCTGGACCCCTATGAAAGGCGTGGGGAGACTGAGGCAGTGGGGCTGGCGGGAACTCATGATTTGGCATGGGGGACCTGGGCGCAAGCCAGGCAATGGGACTTCTGTCAGCCTCAGTTTACTGCTCCACTTTCTAAGCTCCACCTGGGACTGAGTAGATGCTTAGCAAACATGAGCTGAACACATAAATAGAAGAAAGAAACAGCTAGCGGGGGAGGATCATTCCCTGAGTCCAGCCTGCCTCACTGGTCGCTGTCAAGCTCACAGGTCATGGGAGTGGCTGCTGTCATGAACTGTGATAACCTTAAAGCCAGCTGTTTCTGCACCCAGAAAGCCACGTGTCCTCACATATATGGTAGTGGGAAGAGGCAGCCACAGCCACTGGAGGACTTGACAGTTCACAGCGCGTTCACGTGGGCAGTAACCGCTTCTGTAAGAGGAAGGCAGCATCCGTGGCCTTTCTGGCAGCAACTGAGGCCCAGAGGGGGCGGGCATGTTTTGCAGGCGCCTCGGCTGTGTGCAGATGCTGTGGGCTTGGGTCTGAGCCCTGGCTTTGGAAAGATCCTGCCGCTGTCCCGCTGGGTGAAGTTGCATAGCCTCCCTAAGTCTCAGCTTCCTCGTCTGTGAACCAGGCAGTGAGGCCCATGAGCTGGTGTGCCCGGGCAGGCGGGAAGCGGTGCTGAATGTCAGTGTTTTGAGGCGGAGCCCCATCCCCCCACTTGCTCCACCCCGTTCAGCCCAGGCCCCTCTTGCCCCTTAGAGACCTGTCGTCGCCTGCCCTGGCAGCCTGACTGATCTGCTTTATCTGGAATCCTCTTCCCCGCACCCTGTGTAGGCTTTATCTATTAACCCGACAGACGCATGGTCGGTGCACACCATCGCTCACATCCACGAGATGAAAGCAGAGATCAAGGATGGCTTGGAATTCATGCAGCACTCAGAGACCCACTGGAAGGTATGATGCTTGTCGGTGGCTCACCTCCCTGGGAAATGCAGTGTGTCCCCTTGAGTTAGGCTGAGGCTTTATGGACAAGAGTTATGGGGCTTGGTTCCCTCTCCTCCCTCTCCTGCACCTGCCTCAGGTGTTTGGCTGCTGAGCAGAGCACAGTCAAGATTTTAGTCCCCACCCCAGGCCTATACCTTGCCCTAGGGACTCCACTAAGGGTCCAGCCCAGACTTCTCTGCCGTCACAGGGCCTAGTCAAGAGGAATGATTAGCCTCCTAGAAGCATATGAGCTACACCATGACAGGGACCCTCTGTGGGATGTGGAAACCCAGAGGGAGCGTTAAACTCAACTGGACTTCGGGGGACAGTGGCCAGGGAAGGTGTCCTAGAGGAGGCAACCTCTGAGTTGGCTACTGAAGGATGAGCAGGTGTGTGCCACACAGAGGGGGAAGATGGAGAGCGTCCCAACCGTCACCAGCTTGAGCAAGGCTTCCAAGGCCTACAGTGGCCTGTGAGGGAGAGGAGAGCTGCACAGTTTGGTGTCCTAGAGCCCAGATACAAGGCAGACATGGGCCGTGCAGGAGGCTTTGTCAGTCCCTCTTTCCATGGGAGGCAAGGTGGTGTCCAGGCAGAGGCGGAAACGCCTGCAGAGGCCTCAGAGAAGGAAAGGCTAGCGCCATGGTGGAGGTGGGCCCTCTGGACAGACGGGGCTGCGTCAGGTGAGCCTGTTGGGCTCAAGGGAGATGGGACCTCCTGAGGACAGGGACACAGGGTCGCTCACTCAGCGCTGATTGAATACCCGCTTTGTATTTGGGGTCAGCAAGAAATCAGGGAAGGGTGAGCACTTGGCTCCCAAGCAGGGGCTGTGCGGTCTGAGCCACGCGGCGGAGGACCCTCGGGCCTCCAGATTCAGCTCTGTCAAGGGGGCAGCTGTCAGGTTCCCTTCTCAGGGACAGTGAGGTTTGTTTGAGGTTTTTGAGTGCTGGGCACTGTCCCTTGTTGAGGATCACGAGTCCAGTCTCCCGAGCTTGGAAGTACCCTAGCAGGGGCCAGCTCTGAGCCCAGCACAGGCCCTGCTTTAACACTGCTTTATACTGAGGGCGGCCTAAGGGAGCCACTGACATGCCACCCGCCCCCCCGGCTCTCGGGGCTTTGCCAGCACCTGTTGGAGTTTGGCCCTGGGCCTGCTGATCTCTGCAGGTTTTTTTGGTTTGGTTTGGTTTTTTTTTGTTGCTGTTGTTTTTTGAGACAAGTTCTCTCTCTGTCACCCAAGCTGGAGTGCAATGGCACAATCAGGGCTCACTGCAGCCTCGACCTTCTGGGCTCAAGCGACCCTCCCACCTTGGCCTCCCAAATAGCTGGGACTACCGGCGTGTGCCACCACACCTGGCTAAGTTAAATTTTTTTTTTAGAGAAAGACAAGGTCTCCTCCCTGTGTTGCCCAGGGGGGTCTTGGACTCTTGGGCTCAATTGATCCTTCAGCCTCAGCCTCCCAAAAGTGCTGGGATTACTTTTGGGAGGCATGAGCCGCCACGCCCGGAGTTTATCCAAGTGCCCTGAGCTGTTTGGGCACCCATGGACCTTGGGCCACTCCCTGTGGAGTGGCTCTGTGATTCCTTTTCTCAACTTCACATGTAACGAAGGCAAAGCTGGAGTTGCTGAAGTAACTTCCTCTGCACCAGTCCTGGGGCTGCTGCTCCCCAGCTCAGGCAAGCAGGTTGGGAACCTCCCCTGGCCTCCGTTTCCTCCTTGGTAAATGCAGCATAATAGTCACTGCCCTTCCAAGTGGAAGAGATTATGTGGCCGGAGGCGCCCAGCACAGACACGGAATATTGTTTCCTGCACTCAAAGATGATGGTTTCTGTGGCCGGGTGCGGTGGCTCACACCTGTAATCCCAGCACCTTGGGAGGCTGAGGTGGGCGGATCACCTGAGGTCAGAGGTTTGAGACCACCCTGGCCAAGATGGTGAAACCCTGTCTCTACCAAAGACACAAAAATTACCTAGGTATGGTGGTGCACACTTATAATCCCAGCTACTCAGGAGGCTGAGGCAGGAGAATCGCTTGAACCCAGGAGGCAGAGGTTGCTGTGAGCCAAGATCGTGCCACTGCACTCCAGCCTGGGGGACAGAGCCAGACTTTGTCTCAAAAAAAAAAAAAAAAAATGATGGTTTCTGCATTAGCACAAAACAACATTTTTTTTTCCCCATAGGCCTTCAGACTTTTCATACATTCCTTTTTTTTTTTTTCTCCTCCAGGACTCGGATATGTTGGCTTGTCATAACTATTGGCACTGGGCTTTATATCTGATTGAGAAGGTAAGGTGGCCGTCTGTTTGCCCTGTCTTATCCTGTAGAGATTCCAGAGGGAGAAAGATTTTTCTAGCTTTTGTTGTGTATTCACATCCCGTGGAGCCCTGATGCAGTGGAGCATCAGGGTTTGATGAATGTTTCCAAAGAAACATTTCCAAAGGGCATTTCCAAAGCCCTGATGAATGTTTCCAAAGAGCGTTCCAGGCTTGACCTGTTGTAGGGATTTTTCACTGTAGAGGCCTGGAGATCACGTCTGTGGTGTATAACTTGTAGAGACCATTCAGAGCAAGTGCCTGTGGCTGGAGCGGAGAGCCAGACGCCCACCCTGCAGGGTGTACCTACCTGGGCCATGAGATCTTGTAGCGGGAGCCAGGGTGTGAGGCATCTGCTCGTGACACCCTTGACCCCAGTGATTCCGCCGCAGGGTTCCGTGTGCCAGACTGTCACTTCCAGTGCTCTTTATCCTGCACAAAAGCTAGAAGCTCCCTGAATGTCCAAAAAGTGAGAAATGCTGAGAACATGAGGGCCCTGTCATGATATAAGAATGTGATGATAAAGTGTCTGGAAGATAGCACAGAACCCAGCTAAATGTACAGGAGAGGAAACATATGCAGAAAAGAAAAAGGCGGCTGGGCTCAGTGCTCACGCCCGTAATCCCAGCACTTTGAGAGGCCAAGGCAGGCAAATCACCTGAGGTCAAGAGTTTGAGACCAGCCTGGGCAACATGGTAAAACCCGGTCTCTACTAAAAATACAAAAATTAGCTGGGCGTGGTGGTGCCTCCCTGTAATCCTGAGGCTGAGGCATGAGAATCACTTGAACCTGGGACACGGAGGTTACAGTGAGCCCAGATTGTGCCACTGCACTCCAGCCTGGGTGACAGAGTGAGACCCCATCTCAAAAAAAAAAAAAGAAAAAAAGAGAAAAAGACTAGAAAGAAATACATGAAAAAGCTTGCAGCAGTTAGTATGAGCAATACCTATATTAACTTTTCCACTAGGAGAGAGAATGCTTCCACAGCAACTGTTTCTTCAGTGGTGGCGGCACAGGTACTGCTGTCCTTTCTACACTAGGGAACCAAAGGTCCGGTTGAAAGCGGGTTCACCTTCTCCCATCCCAATGCCACCAAGATACTGCCCGTCCCCCTCTGAGAGGAGGTGGAGGCCTGAGGCCATGTGCTCAGGGGGCTTTGGCCTGGCCGTTTTCAGTTCACGTCCCAGTATTACACTTTGCTTTCTCCAGAGTTTAATCAGGAGAACTTTATTCTTCCAGGGCGAATATGAGGCCGCGCTGACCATCTTTGATACTCACGTAAGTTGCGCTCACACCGTGTTCAATTTGTTGCAGCATTTTGCCTTTGAATCTCAAAGAGACCAAATCTTTGAGTTCTTCAGGATTGTCTCAGCCAGAAAAACAGCTGGAGCAAGAACATGTTTCTTGTGTAAGGCCTCATGGGGTTAATTTTGCCAAGAGCAGTGTTGTAACCCTGCCTATGCTGGGGACAGTGGTTGGCCCTGCTCACCCCGAGGGTGCTGGTAGATTTACACATCTAAGGGCCTCGCCTCTGCAATTGTGGACTCTCCTCCAGCCCTTTCAGATCACTTTTCTTTGGTAAGACAACTGGTCTACCCATAGGAATTTTTTTTTTTTTTTGAGACAGAGTTTCACTCTTGTTATCCACGCTGGAGTGCAATGGGGCAATCGGCTGGAATTATTTTTCTTCACTATAATAAAATAAAAATAACATAAAATTACGTGTACAAGGCCGGGTGTGGTGGCTCACGCCTGTAATCCCAAAACTTTGGGAGGCTGAGGCGGGTGGATCATTTGAGGTCAGGAATTCAAGACCAGCCTGGCCAACGTGGCGAAACCCTGTCTCTACTAAAAATACAAAAAATGAGCTGGGCATGGTGGTGGGCGCCTGTAATCCCAGCTACTCGGGAGGATGAGGCACAAGAATCGCTTGAACCTAGGGGGCAGAGGTTATAGTGAGCCAAGATCACGCTACTGCACTCCAGCCTGGGTGACAGAGCGAGACCCTATCTCAAAAAAAAAAAAAAAAAAAGAAAAAAGAAGGGTACAGCTCTGTGGCATTAAGTGCATTCACATTGTGCAACCATCACCACCCTCCATTTTGGGAACATTCTTCATCTTCCCAAACTGAAACCCTATACCCATTAAACACTAACTCCCCATTCCTCCTCCCTGGGCCAGACATTCTTTTGAGAGGGGGGAAAAAAGCCTGACTCACAGCTCCAAGGACCCCAGGGATGGCTTCATCATAAAAGCCTGGAACCACAGAAATGCTTGTGATCTGGGGATCTAAACATCAGAGAAAAGCACACAATAATTTCCCTCGGTCAGGAAGTTGTAGTAAGAAATGAAGGGTGGGCTGGGTGTGGTGGCTCATGCCTGTAATCCCAAGCACTTTGGGAGGCTGAGGCTGGTGAATCACCTGAGGTCAGGAGTTGGAGACCAGCCTGGCCAACATGGTGAAACCTAAACCTGTGTCTACTAAAAATACAGAAACTAGCTAGGTGTGGTGGCGGGCGCCTGCAATCCCAGCTACTTAGGAGGCTGAGGCAGGAGAATTGCTTGAACCCAGGAGGTGGAGGTTGCAGTGAGCCAAGATTGCGCCATTTGCACTCCAGCCTGGGCGACAGAGTGAGACTCTGTCTTAAAAAAAAAAAAAAAAAAAAAAGAAGTGATGGGTGACATACTCCAAGAACTCGAGGTGGCCTGCTCAGCAAAGCTGAGTCTAGAAACGTGATCAGGCAGACAACCCTCCCACCGGTGTGGTCTGAGGCCCGGGGGTGGGAGGTGGCAGATGCTTTGGGCCTGGTCTGGGCCCTGGGTATGCAATGCAGTGGGCTCTTTCTTCAGGTCCGCCTGGTGACCCCCTAGTGCTTGGAGCGTCAACACCCCAGGCAAGGGTGATGGGCCTGTTAGTTGGGGTGATGGGGACAGTGGCGGAGGGCTTGCTCTATACGGGCCCCACCCCACCTAGACAGGCTGACCCTAGCTGTGCCTGCAGCCCCCTCATCTGGCCCACCAGCTGAGTCCGCCTTGGCGCCCTGTCTTCCAGATCCTTCCCAGCCTGCAGGCCAGTGGTACCATGCTGGACGTGGTGGACAACTGCTCCATGCTCTACCGCCTGCAGATGGAAGGTAGCCACCCCTGCAGCCCCACTGGCTTCTGCCTCTTCCTCCCACATCATGAGGAAGAGGGTGTTGTGGCCTAGGCCCAGGGCTGGGCAAGAGCTCATGGGTGAGCCGCTCCAGACCCCTCTGCAGACCTGGCCGCTGCCTTGGGTACTGCTCTGCAGCTGCCTCCCAGCTGACTGGAGGGTGCCCAGTACGGGTACTGCTCTGCAGCTGCCTCCCCAGCCGGCCCAAAGCTGGAGGGAGTGCCAGGCCACACTGCCCCCTTCTAACAGTTCCTACCGCTCCTCGATGTGGAAGCCTCCAGCTCTGCACCCAGGGCGGCACCTGCTGTGCTGTTCCCACTGCCAGCCTGCCAAGCCTTGAGGCACTGGTGGCACCTGGTCATCTGTCTCGATGCCACCTCCTTTCCTGAAACATGAGAGAGTTTCTCAACTCCTGGGGTGCAGACAGGTTTTCTCAACCTTGTCATGCTCTGCCAGGTAGCCTGGAGGATCAGGGGTACTGCTCTGCAGCTGCCTCCCAGCTGGCCCAAAGCTGGAGGGGGTGCCCAGGCCACACTGCCCTTTCTAACAGTTCCTACCGCTCCTCGATGTGGAAGCCTCCAGCTCTGCACCCAGGGCGGCACCTGCTGTGCTGTTCCCACTGCCAGCCTGCCAAGCCTTCGGGGCACTGGTGGCACCTGGTCATCTGTCTCGATGCCACCTCCTTTCCTGAAACATGAGAGAGTTTCTCAACTCCCTGGGATTGCAGACAGGTTTCTCAACCTTGTCATGCTCTGCAGGTAGCCTGGAGGGATCAGCCACAGCTCTGGGGGCTGTCGAGGGCTCCAGCCAACCACTGGGGTGCCAGATGGTTCTCCCCTTACCTCAGGCTCAGCAGAGCCATCTGGAACCACAGAGGCCTGGGCTAGGGCCTGGGTCAGCAGCACCAGGAGGGGTGCAGGCCTGGGCTGAGCAATTCAGGAACCTGAGGGAGTGCATGGCAGGCTGTTTCTAGAGATTCAGAAGGCTTCCTAATGGAGGTGAAATGTGAGCCCCAGGAGCATGTGTGGGGCTTGCTGGGCAGACAAGGGAAGGAGTTACACTCGGAGAAAGCAGACCATCCAGAGCTACCGGGAAGCAGAAGCCAGCAGCCTGCTGCAGAACAAGAGGCCAGAGGGCGGGCTTGATGTGGTCAGATCAGGCAACAGCAGGCTGAGGGGTGCAAGAGCCAGGGAGCCCACTGGTGGGAAGGGCAGGCTGAGGCTGGAGACCCAGAGAAAAGTGGGGAGCCCGGGGCATCCATGGGGAAGCCGGGGGTTGTGTGGGAACGCCGGGGGATCCAAGAGGCCTGGGGTTTGTCAAAGCAGACAGAGGTTTTGTTTAATAACCTTTGACACTTTTTAAAATGTGCTTCCTACTTAACGTGTCTATGGCTTCTATAATTAAACAGTCCTAACAGAGGCCTAAGCACGAGGCCAGACACTGCCCATGGCCCTGCCTACCTCCCTGGCCTCTCACCTGGGACAAGGTCATCAGGGCCTCCAAGGGAAGCACTGTGGGGGAGGCCCTTGCACAGGACACACCCCAGAGCCTCATTCCAGGCCCTGGGTCTCCTCCCCATGTCCTCAGGGGTGTCTGTGGGCCAGCGGTGGCAGGATGTCCTGCCTGTGACCCGGAAGCACAGCCGAGACCACATCCTGCTGTTCAATGATGCACACTTCCTGATGGCATCCCTGGGTGCACACGACCACCAGACCACACAGGAGCTGCTGACCACCCTGCGGGACGCCAGCGAGTATGCAGAGGGGACCTTCTTGGGGTGGGGGTCCTCACCCTGCCGAGAGGGTGACGGGGTGCTAGGGCCATGCCGAGAGCTGTTCAGTGCCTGCCCTGCCTGTGAGTGCAGCAGGGGGATGCCCATGGAGGCTGCTCCCCAGTGTGCACCGCTATAGATATGTGTCCCCTGGTGCAGACTCCCGAGGCGTGTGCACCCACAAGTGTGTGGCCCACAGCTCTACAACTGGTTGCCCCAAGACACAGAGCTGCCTCCATCCCCATCGTGGGTATGAGATCCTCAGGGTCACAGGGCTGCCTCCCGTGGAGAGGACACAGCGAAGCCCTGAAACCAGAGACACCTGCTGCTTACAGGCCCTGAGGTCCTGGACGAGGTGCTTCTCTGATCTGAACCTCAGTTTCCCCATCTAAATCAGGGATAGCGCCTGGCAAGAGCTGGTGAGGGCTGACCTGGGGGACCTGGGCTGCCCTGCCCATTCCCTTCTGGGGGTGGTGATTGCCTTGACTTGCAGTGCCAGGCCTTTGCCTGTCTTGTCAGCAATCCTGACAGTTCTGTTAGACTGGCACTGTTATGCCTGCTTCACAAATGAGCAAACTGAGGCTGGAAGGTGGGGGACCAGGTAGCTGGAAATGGGCGAACTCCAACCCAGGTCTGAGCTTAGTGCCCTGTCCCGTCCCCTCGATGGGCTGCCCCGCCTGTCACCTCACCTCATCAGCGTGGCATGTGTCAGGCACTGGGCCAAGGACACCTCGCTGAGGAAGAAATGACCTGCCCCTCCCGGACATTCTGTGATGGGCAGACAGCTGAGGGCACTGTCTCGGGTTTGCAGATCTCCAGGGGAGAACTGCCAGCACCTCCTGGCCCGAGACGTGGGGCTGCCCCTGTGCCAGGCCCTGGTGGAGGCTGAGGACGGGAACCCTGACCGCGTCCTGGAGCTGCTCCTGCCCATCCGCTACCGGATCGTCCAGCTCGGTGGGAGCAATGCCCAGGTGAGCCGATGGCTGCCAGCCAGGGCACCTGGGGACTGGGCCAGGGAGTCTGGGTGCCCTGCAGCCCCCAAGTCTCTCCCGTGGTGTTGGTGCCCACAATGTGAATGTGAATGTGTCTCTCATGCTCCTGCCCTGTAAGTTGGTCATCGAGGGTGTGGCATCAACACCACTGTCTCCCTGGAGAGCAGGCAGCCCTCGGTGGGCGGGGGCTTACCTCCCCCATCCCGAGGTACAGGAGCCTCACATGCCCAATTGATATTTCAGAGAGATGTCTTCAACCAGCTGCTGATTCACGCGGCCTTAAACTGCACCTCCAGCGTCCATAAGAATGTGGCCCGGTGAGCTCCTGGCCCCTGCCCAGCACTCCCGACTTTCACAGGCTCTCCCTGCAGACCTCGGGAGTGCCTGGAAGCCCCACCACCCTTGGCCCGAGATGCTCCTGCTTCTGAGGCTGTGAGGTTGGGAGGCTGTGGGGAATTTGGTTCTCCTTTGTTAGCGGGCTCAATTTGACCAAGTGGAGCCAGCTTGACCCCGGGCCCAACCTCCCACCCTCCCCAGCCCACTCCCTTTTAGCCATGCTAAGCTACCTGAGTACGCAAATATGTCCTGCTCTTTCAGGCTCCTGGGCCTTTGCACGCTTGGAACACCCTTTCTCCTTTTGCACCTGGCCGACACCTAACGCTCAGACCTCAGCTCATTTCTCCTGCCTGCCTGCGCTGGGTGCCGAGAGGCAGCAGTGAGCAGGCACACCAGGCACTGGCTACCAGGAGCCCATCTGTAGTTGGGGGAGCGACAGGGAGCAGTCAGTCCCACAGACACACGTAAACTCACACTGAGGGAGCAGCAGCTGAGGGCACACCCGAAAGTGCAGTGGGTTTAGCCAGGCCAGGCATGGGGCTGGTAGGAGGGTGGTGTGGCTGGAGGGTGGGTGTTAGGAGGGTGGAGTGACTGGAGGGTGGGTGTTAGGAGGGTGGTGTGGCTGGAGGGTGAGTGTGTTAGGAGGGTGGTGTGGCTGGAGGGTGAGTGTGTTAGGGTGGAGTGGCTGGAGGGTGTGTTAGGAGGGTGGAGTGGCTAGAGGGTGAGTGTTAGGAGGGTGGTGTGGCTGGAGGGTGAGTGTTAGGAGGGTGGAGTGGCTGGAGGGTGAGTGTGTTAGGAGGGTGAGTGTGTTAGGAGGGTGGAGTGGCTGGAGGGTGAGTGTGTTAGGAGGGGGGCGTGACTGGAGGGTGAGTGTTAGGAGGGTGGAGTGGCTGGAGGGTGAGTGTTAGGAGGGTGGCGTGGCTGGAGGGTGAGTGTTAGGAGGGTGGAGTGGCTGGAGGGTGAGTGTTAGGAGGGTGGCGTGGCTGGAGGGTGAGTGTTAGGGTGGAGTGGCTGGGAGGCTGGAGGTGAGTGTTAGGAGGGTGTGGCTGGAGGGTGAGGCAGGGAGGGTGGAGTGGCTGGAGGGTGAGTGTGTTAGGAGGGTGGAGTGGCTGAGGGTGAGTGGCATAGGGGAGGGTGGTGTGGCTGAGGAGTGTTAGGAGGGTAGAGTGGCTGGAGGGTGAGTGTGTTAGGGTGGTGTGGCTGAAGGGTCAGTGTTAGGAGGGTGGTGTGGCTGAGGTGAGGTAGAGGTATATGAGGTGATAAAGTAGGAGGGTGGAGTGGCTGGAGGGTGAGTGAGGAGGGTGAGCAAGGAGGGTGAGTGTGTTAGGAGGGTGGTGTGGCTGGGAGGGTGAGTCTTAGGAGGGTGGTGGCTGGAGGGTGAGTGTTAGGAGGGTGTGGTTGGAGGGTGAGTGTGTTAGGAGGGAGGAGTGGTTGAGGGCAGAGGTAAGTAGGAGGGTGGGTGTGGCTGGAGGGTGGAGTGTGTTAGGAGGGTAGGGGAGGAAGGGAGGTGAGTGTTAGGAGGGTGGTGTGGCTGGAGGGGTGAGGCAGGAGGTGGAGTGGCTGGAGGGTGAGTGTGTTAGGAGGGTGGAGTGGCTGAGGTGAGTGTAAGGAGGGTGGGGGCGGGAGGGGGAGGTTAGGGTGGTGTGGCTGAAGGGTCATGTTAGGGAGGGTGGTGGCTGAGGGTGAGTGTTAGAGGGTGGAGTGGCTGGGAGGGTGAGGCAGAGGTGGAGTGGCTGGAGGGGGTGGGAGTGTGTTAGGGAGGGTGGAGGGCTGAGGGTGAGTGTTAGAGGGTGGAGGCTGAGGGTGGAGTGTTAGGAGGGTGGTGTGGCTGGAGGTGAGGCAGGGGTGGTAAGGGCTGAGGTGGAGGTGTGTTAGGGTGGTGGCTGGCAGGTGAGGTCAGAGGGCATAGCTGGCAGATGAGAGGTGGTAGGGGGAACTCAAGAGCTCTGCACTACTGCCAGCAGCCTTGGTGCTTCCATGGCCCTAAAGCTGGTCTCTCCACTCAGGCTGCATTTCCCTGGCCGGTGGCTGCCAGCCCCTGTGTGCCTGAGGAGCGACTTTGACACCTCTCTCCTTGTTAGGTCCCCATGACTCCCTGTGACATAGGTGGAAGGGAAGTAGTAGAGGAGCCATGGGGTGCCTGGTGGGGCGGTGTGGCTGTGAGATAGGTGGCAGTCTGGCCACAGGAGGCCCTTGGCTGGTGACAAGCCCAGTGGTTAGGCGCAGGTGCACCAGCGCAGCTCCCCTCTAGGCAGGGTTATCAAAATCATTGAGCCAGTGCAGGTTCTGTGGTACTTGATGGAACAGGTCTGTATTGGCAGCACTTGAACCGCCTAAAACTGTAAATGTCTGACACATGCTCCCTGCTTTGGCCTTATACATGGCCATGACAAACCATGCAGGTTTCTTTAGTGGTTGGCGCCCCTTGGGGAGCCTGCCAGGTGTGGGTGGGAGCTGAGTTCTGGCAGCAGCAGGGGAAAGTGGCTGTGTGGACAGGAGGACTGAGGGTGAGCCAGTGAGCATCTGGGGGCAATGCGGCGTGGTAGCGATGTGGTCTTCCCCAAGGCCCAGTGGGAGACAGGCTGTGCTGGGCAGTTGACCGGCAGGTGGGGGTGCCTTCTCCAAGTCCTGTCCTGCCACCAGGCAGCATCCATGGGGCCATCAGCACAGGTCACCAGCCCCAGGTGGGAAATCCCTTCCACCCCCAGCCATGGTGCTCCCCACACACTGAGTGCCTGGGTCTCAGCCCTTTCACCACCCATCGCTCTACAGAAACCACTGCTGTCAGATGTCAGGACTGTCTTAGTTTGGCTGTTACTTTAAAAGTGCTACACAGGCCGGGCATGGTGGCTCGCGTGCAATCCCAGCACTTTGGGAGGCCAAGGTGGGTGGATCACTGAGGTCAGGAGTTCAAGACCAGCCTGGCCAACATGGTGAAACCCCGCTCTACTAAAAATACAAAAATTAGCCGGGCGGTGGTGGGTGCCTGTAATCCCGAGGTAACTGTGAGCCTGGGGCAGGAGAATCACTTGAACCTGGGAGGTGGAGGTTGCAGTGAGCTGAGATTGCACCACTGTACCTAGCCTGAATGAGAGGGAGACTATCTCAAAACAAAACAAAAAATATGCCACGGACTGGTGACTTTGCACAGCAGGGGGCATGTGCATTGTCTCACTTGTCTGGAGGCTGAATGTCCATCAAGGCCTGGCCAGTTCAGCTGCTGCTGAGCTCTCTTCCTGGCTTGTGGACAGCCATTTTCTTGTGTCCTCACATGACCTTTCCTTTGAGGTGCCAGTTCTTTCAATGCCTCTTTCTTTCTTTTTAAATTTTTGGAATATTTTTAGAGTGCAGCCTTGGTCACCCAGGTTGGAATGCAGTGGTGTGATCACAGTTCACTGCAACCAAACCTCCTGCTCAAGGAATTTCCTGCCTCTATCCTCCCATAGTGCTGGATTACAGGGTGAGCCACCACATCCACCTCTTCTTATAAGGGCACTAATCCCATCTCACAAGGGCCCCACCTCATGACTTAATCACTCCAAGAGGCCTTGTTCCTAATACCATCACCTCGGGGTCATTTGGGCTTCAACATATACATTCAGCCTGGACACAGACATTCAGTTCACAGCAGGGTCTTTACCTCAAAGTGTACCTGGGCTTCCTCTCTTTCAACCCCGGGTTTTCCCATCACAGGCCTGTTCTGGTTCCACCTGGAGGTGGAGTTTCCTGCACTGGAGGTCTGTGCCCTCCTATCCTTACCTCCCTCCAAACTGAGACCAGGCCTCCTGCCCGGCCTGGCCCTTGCCATTCCCTCAGTGCCGCAGAGTCCAGCCTGGGCTCGTGTTCTGCCTTGGGACCAAGGGATCAGCCCAGGCCCCACATCCCCAGAAGGTTCTAAGAGAACTCCATGTCTGCCACAGGAGCCTTCTGATGGAGCGTGATGCCTTAAAGCCCAACTCGCCCCTGACTGAGGTGCCGGCTCATCCAAGGCGGCAAGCGTCCACCCCATGCAGTGAGCCAGCCTGTTCACCTTCACCCTGCAACTCGGTGATGGCCTCGCCAAGGCCCAGTCAGCGTGCTGCACCGGGTTAGGTCAGAGACAGCTGAGCCTGTTTGTTAGGGCTGTTGTGGAGGGTGATCTTCTGGTTTATCAGAAGGTCAGGAGGTTAATTTTAAATGTGATTCTAAATCTTTCAGTCCTTGAGAAGGGCCAATGTGCATTTTTCAGCAAGTCACAGCCAGTGCGAGTGCTGCTCTTTCCACCTGCCTTGCAAATTTGTTTCCTAGGGGAATGTGTCTACTACCTGGTGGTTCAAGGGGTTGAAGGCAGGCAGGGAGCTGATTCCACTAGGACAAAGTCTTCCAGAGCAGCCAGCTCCCACCACCGCCTGTCTCCTTCCAGGCTGCCCTTGGGATGCACCTTTTCATTCTTTCCTTGCATTCTAGACAGGCTCATCATCTCACTGTGTTGCTGTCCCATTTTTCAGGTGAGGGTACGAGGGGTAGGGGAGTGGCCTGCCCAGGGTCACACTACAAGAGGCCCCACCTGCTGCTTCCTTTGGGCTCCGCCTGCCAGGCTGCACCCACCGCTCTTACAGATGAACGTGGCACATGGGTCCTCCCCTGCTATCTCAAGGAAATTCAGAGGTTTCTGGGGTCTGTTGGTGCGCTGATTTGACTCATTTCTTTTTAAACTGCACATCATAAGGCTTCATGTTGAGCATGATTCTTAAACTGATAAGAACAGATACTACACTTGATCTGCAAATAAACAGAAGGATTATTAAGATTTAATCACTTTTAGATGCAAGGATTGTCATAGAGCTTCTCTGCTGTGGCAAAACGCAGTGCTGTGATGTGGCTGTGATACCTGGAGGGCCCTGTTAGTGCCCGCCTCTGTCTCCTGCTTCTCACTGAGCACCTCCTGAATGTGCTGCTGACTTGTTGTGCTGCTTTCAGCCTTCCTGTGAGGGGAGGTCCCAGTGCACAGATGTTTTTCAAGTTCCTCAGTTTGTACTGAAATTAGGTAGGATTCATCAGGGCAGGAAGCAGGCTCTCAGAAGAGAGGAGGCCTGTAATCTATTGAGTCCTCACAGTGTGCTCAGCTTCAGGCAGATTTCTGTGGTTAAAATGAATTATTAACTGTTCCTTCAAGTCTTGAGCATCTATGGTGCAGGCCTGGGCTGGGTCCAGAGATGGCTTCTCCTGAACTTAAGGTAGGTGGGGCAGGCCAGGCCAGGCGCAGTGGCTCACCTGTAATCCCAGCACTTGGGAGGCCGAGGCGATGGATCTCTGATGTCAGGAGTTCCGCACTGGCCTGGCCAACATGGTGTCCCTGTTCTACTAAAAATACAAAAATTAGCTGAGCATGGCGCATATCTAATCCCAGCTGCTTGGGAGGCTGAGGCAGGAGAATTGCTTGAACCTGGGAGGCAGTGATTGCAGTGAGCCAAGATCATGCCATTGCACTGCAGTCTGGGCACAGAGCCAGACTCCCATCTCAAAGGAAAATAAAAAGTAGGTGGGGCATCTAGTCAAGGAAATGGGT